TGATGGGAATTTTCTTTCGGCCCCTGGAAAGAAAGAGGAAGTTGTATTCAAGGAGAAAAGAGGAACTTCCCATATGAGTAAGCATCCCTGATTTCACCTTCTTCCACCTTGAACTACAACCATGAGGTCCTGTAATTGTTTGAAGGGCAAAGCTCTTTCAAGTACATCCTTTGGTTTGAATGAAGAAATCAAAACAAAGAATTTTTGCTATCTGTTTTCCTCCATGGCTGTTGGTAACCCATTCATAAGAAATATTTTGAGTCAATTCCTTAATGCATTGTCAATACCATAACGAAAATTACAGATCAGTTCAGTTTCAGAAAAAGAAGCAGCACTTAAAGGCAGGGATAAAAGCCTTCAATGTGTGATACAAACTACGGGATTTCTCTGACTTCAAGAAAGAGAAAAGTATATACTGATATTGATATACTGGAATGAATATCCCGGTCTACTATGTCTGATATTAGGTTTTTGTCCTGTAAAGTCCAAGAATGAATTTTAGGAACAACAGAGATTAAGAGAAGAGTATACTTATTGAGAGGAAAAAAAGCTGCCTGAGAGAGAGAAGGTATCCTGAGCAGGTTGCCAAACACTGCCCATTCTAGGGACCTTTATAGAGTAAAATCATGTGGTGAAGTCAGTTTAAGGTGGGGAAAACTAGGAACTCACAATTCAGATGGGCATAAGATGGGACAGAGTTATGGTAGCCAATAAGATTATAAGTTCAGGTAAAGTTGATTAAATTGGTAACAAAGGGGGAAGGGAGTCACATAGAAAGCAGGCATTCTTAGACAGCTGTGTCTCTTCCCTTAGGGGTTTGGGAGGGTGACTCCTGAGTTCCTCAGGATGATAGGTACTATTTAGAATGTCAGTCTTTAGGATAAGGATACATTTCTTTGAATGGTGACTCCTGACTTCCTCAGAGTGCTAGGGAACTATTTAGAATATCAATCCTTAGGATATGGATGAATTTGCTTATCATTTGTCTTGAGCCTTGGCCCATAGCATGAGGTGTCAGTCTTCCCCATAGTTGCAAGGTATCCGGTCTCCTGCATGGGCTCCTTGGGGGATCTAGTCCTGTCTCATGCCAATAGTATTTAAATAACTCAGGTCCCTGTAACAGTACTGTTTGGAAAATTGATTACAGATGTCTTGTGCTCTGGGTGAATGATCTGGGGATGACAGTGTGCAATGTATATACCATTGTTGCCCCCTGATTGACATGTTTTGATTTTAATTTTAGTTGATGTGTTCTTTTTTCCTTGAAATAAAATGGATTTACAAATTAAAAGCCTGAGGTAAAGCTCTTCAGTACAAACACTCCTCTGTCGAGCTGAGTTCACCACTGTAGAAGAATGACAGCTCGAGAAGTCTTTCCACTACAGTCTATCTTTTAGGATCCACTCTTGCAGTGAGGGGTTCATTTCTCTGTTTATTCTTGACTCAGAAGGAGGGCAGTAGAGCAGGAGTCAGTCAGTGATGAAGGGGCAGGCTATATGAACTGTCCAATTTTCAGGCCATTGATGGCTGTGACTTTTGTTTCTTCTAGTGTCTCAGCATGATTTACCTTTTCTGAGTACAATACTGGTAGCAAAACACTTGCTGGATCCCATTTAGTACTTTTGATGTCCTGTGGCCTGATTAGCAAAGAACCTGAAAGATCCTGGATCCATGGAATAGTGAGGTTGTGGATAGGAGCCCAGAAATAGGATGGATTGGGTAAAACCAGTTACAAGTGTTTAGGAGTAGTTCCGGTGTCTGGAGCCTCAGGTATTTAGTTAGCTTAAGCTCCTGAAGTCCTCCAGTTTTGGCCATGGGTTATTCACTATCCCTTTTGCTATTGCTGTTGGCAAGGGTAATTTGGGGTCCCCAGAACCCTGGCTTCACTATGAAAGCAGCAGACTCAAGTATCATCTTTGAAATTCACTGCTAGCCTGGTAAGTCCACCATCTTAGGCATTAGGAGGAGCTTGGGAAGACCCTGACTATGATGCTTTTGTAGCTTGTAGGGCAGTAATGAGCTAGGTCTATGCTCTATTTCCTCAGATTAGCAGATCTGGAGTGTCCAGAGTTTATTAATGTATGTAATGCAGGGCCTCATAGCCACAATGGCTCAACTTAAACTTGGGCTTATTTGTATTTATAGTGATCTCCTAAATTTATAATATGTTCTCCTATTTCCATCCTCATGAAAGGTAGTGACAAAGGTCCTGAGAATTCAGAGGTGTAGTAGTGTGCCTCAGTGGAGAAAGGCTTCCCAAACAACTGGTGAACTCCTGTGTATTATACAGAACATTGCATAATAATTTCTGAACATACTTAGTTATTTAGGTGTCACCCCTGCTCACAGACTAGGTTTGTGAGAACAGCCATAGAGTTTTGAAGTCTGAGAAAAATGAAGCAAATATGAACGTGTTATCAAGCACAGGGTAAAAATTTGTGAAGGACAAATTCCAGAAAGGGCTACCTGTTAAATTCTCATGGAAAAATGCCAAAATTTAGGCATTTGCATGGACATATACACGTGATATCCTTCTGAATGGAAAGGAATAGGGGTGTCATCTCTGAATTAAGAGCTGATTTAGAAGCTTGGTTGTTAATAGTTTAAATATGGAAATTCTCTACAATGGACATATCTAAGTGGTGTAAATGAGAAGCCCTAAATAGAAATTTTGCAGCGATATCAATAGTTAGGCATGAAGTGTTTTCTGTTTGGATGAATCAGAGGAGTGTGGAAAAGATGTGGAAGTGACTGACAGGATGCAGGCAGCAAATAGCAGAACATACAACAGAGAGGGTCTTCACTGAAAGTTAGGTAGTTCTTAGAGTAAGTATGAAGTAAAGTTGGGTTCTGATTGCTTCCTTGAGGTGATCAACACCAGCTCTGGCAAAAATCGGTATTCCGCATCCCTGTCAATCCATGATTTTTTTTGTTCCATTGCAATTTAGATCTAATTTTGATTATCTCTAATTATGCCCCAGTGTCATGAAGGTGAAATTTTCAATTTTTTTGTACAAAGGATCGAATGCATGACCTATGCTTTCCAGACAGGCATTCATGCCACTGAGCTAAATACACCACTATGAAAATATTTTCTGTGTAGTATGCAAGATATCCACATTGTTTCTCAGAAAGTGTTGAATATTGTTGGAATTTTTCTCTATTTTATGGCTATAATTTTTAAAAAACAAACCCAAGGTGTCTTATGCATTCTCTTTTTAAGTTTCACTTTGTCTGTTTGGTTTCTCAATCAGGGTTTGTCTATTTTAGATGGCTGTGTAACTTAGGATAGCCCCAAATTCAAGGAAGAAATCCTTCACCAGCATCCCAAGATACATTTCTTATATTTGAATTGAAAGTGATCACTTGGTGACAGTGAGGTATAATTTACAGCTTGGGCCTGGTTTCATTGTATATACATATTTTTAAAATACAGCTGTTTTCCACTAACACTTGAGTTATTATTTATATACTATATTTTATGTTATTTATGTTTTGTTCTATGAATCCAAATTAATGTTTCAAAATGCTGCTTAAGTATATTAAGAACAAAGTACTCATTGGCCTAAATGAGTTTTGAAGTGACATCATTTGTACTCTATCAAAGTGATTGATGAGATTTTTTATTTAATTTTGAAATTGGTAAAATACAACAGAACAAGGCAGCATAAGGCCAACTAAGTTCATACAGTGAAATTGGTACACAACTTCACAACAGGTTACTGGGATAACAGTAATAGGTATCACAGTATATTTTGTTATCTTTGTAATAGTTGTTCTTTAATCACATATATCAAAATGAGATGAAATACAGAACAATATAGAACTCATCAAAACAGAATATTGAATTGAGCAGTACCATTAATCAGAATAGAGTGAAACAATAATAAAAACATTTCCCTTCAAAGAGATAGTAGAAGGAAGTCCCCCTTACTTGCTATGATCTACTTCCCAGGAAACGCTCAGATTTCTGGTTCCCATTTGCTAATGGGGGGGGGGTGACAGGAGAAGAGGGGTAGGGAAGTGGGATGTTTGATTCTAGGCTGTGAATCAGTAGGTTCACTATTGCTTAGTAGGGAGACAGGCTGCTTGTTTGGATTCACAGCTTCCTAAGTTCCAACATAGCACGGATCTCAGGAGCTGCTGCCGGTTCTCCCCCTGGAAGGGCCGCAGTCTGCCAGACTGCCACTGCTTACCAGGGAGAAGTGGTGCTTAATTGGCCTCATAGTGTTCTAAATTCCAGCATGGCATGGATCACAGGAGCTGCTGCTGGTTTGCCCCTGGAAGGGCTGCAGTCTGCCAAACCACCACTGCTGACCAGGGAGGGGAGGTGCTTACCTAGCTTCCCAGTCAATTGATGAGATATTTATATGCCTCTGTGCTTTGCGGTTGCTGGTGCTGTAGGCTTCTCACTGTGAGCTCTGTTTTAGAGGCAGTGCACAGGGAGTCTTGCCATGATGTGTCACAAGAATCAGTGCTCCTATTTGGCTGTTACATTAGCAGTGAGTTGCAATCTAGCATCAAATTTGCTGTCTTCAAAAATGTGTATAGATACAAAATTAATGACCAAGACATGGATTTAAATTTGAACAAATCAGTCTTCATTGAGCTATTTTGTTTGGCTTTATTTGTTTAGTTTTTTTTTTTTTTTTTTGTCTTTTTCATTTTTATCGGTACCAGGGATCGAACTCACGACTGCCTGCTTGCAAGGCAGGCGCTTATGCCGCTGAGCTAAATCCCCAGCCCCCTATTTGTTTAGTTTTGTTTTGTTTTATTGAGACAAGCTTTTCGTATGTATATCAGCTGGATTTGAACACCCTATGGAGCCTAGAATTGCCCTGACCTCACTGATACCTTCCTGTCTCCACCTTTTGAGTGCTGCGATTATAAATATGTGCCACCACACTTTGCTTTTGATTCAGATTTCTAGGAGAGAATTTAAGATACCCCAAACCTGGGGTCTCAACCTTTCTTTGAGAAGTATGTGTATGATCCTTTAGGAGGCGGTGACCTTTGAGGATGTGGTTGTGAACTTCAGCAATGATGAGTGGACTTTGCTGAGTCCATCCCAAAAGAACCTCTACAGAAATGTGATGGGTGAAATCTTTAGGAACATGGCTGCAATAGGTAAGGATGAATACTTTTTGGCACTCATGCTGTCAGAATATTGTTTGTTGCTCATTAGTGCTGTTTCGTTAAAAACAATATGAAAATATTTTTAAAAATAGCTCAGACCTGGACACATTATATCGTAAATCTAAACAAAATCTATTAATTTGTATGTATTACTCAACTGAGTCCTGGTATTTCTATGTCTACAATTCAGGAGGACTTGGGGATATCCAGGAAGCTGAAAAAGAAGGCAAAATTTACTGGAGATACTTAAGGTAATTGACACTCACAAGGAGAGGAATGTTCCTGAGTAATTAGTGACTCAGCAGAAAAATGACCACCAGAGAAATGAGGCACCATTCAATTTAATGTCAGTAATATTCTCCAAAGATGTATAAGCTAGTGTATATACGAGGGAATTAAATCATGAAAATGTATCACATTGCATATAGATGTGTACGAAAGGCATACACTTTGAGTTATGACATTCTGCCTTCAGTTTTTCTATCCATATATACATGTGAATACAACACACTCATTATGTAACAATTGCTAAGATTGCAATAGAATTTGAAATAAAACTGAGTACTCATGTTTCCAAGCCATGCTCTAGACAATCAGCAATTCTGATTAATACTCTTAGTAGGCTGGTGGAATGTTAGTACACTCATTTTGAATATCTGTATGCAGGTGTCTCTAGAAATTGATCCCCTCATACTTGTCCTGGATATTTTTAAAATCTCAAAATCCACATAAAATACTGATACATGCTTACTCATATACAAAGCAGATCAAGTTATAACAGATCAGGCCTTGAAGCATATCTATCTATCACTGGATTTGTGGAGAAGGAAAATGTTAATAGACTCTCTGTGATTGTGCATTCTTGTAAACCCAGCACACTAGGAATCAGATTTTGCAGAATGGCAAATTCAAGTTCAAACTTCCCAGCTTAATGATCAGTGAAAATCTCTTAAAATAGATTTTTAAAAAGCTATAGATTTATGCTAATACCTGTTGTTCATTGCCAGCCCAGAAAAGAAAAATATGTGTTATATAATGTCAAAAAATATATAATATAATGTCATTTGCCATATGAATTAGATGGGTCTTTCACCCATCAATTCAGTGAAATAGCTCAGCTATAAAACTTAAAAGGTCACTGGGTTTCTTTTAGATGAGAAACCAAAATACAAAATGTGGAATGAAATGAAACAGAGTTGACAGAGAAAAGTAAGACTGACCATATCGAAAAGGGAACAACAGGTTAAGGACAGAAGGGAGATTGTGATGGCAAAACATATGAAAATAATCTGCGTGTGATACATGTATGTACCCATGCCCAAAATGAAGCTAAAGATTCTGCATTTCAAAGTACCAATTTTTAAGATTTCCAAATGTGTACCAGTCTTTTGGGAATGGTTGTTTTCAACATATCTTACAAGGCCATTCTGTTGCTTCATGGTCAGAATTTCTTAGCAGGCATTAAAAACAGAACTTTATATTAATGCAGTCATTAAATGGAGACCCATTTCACTGTGTATTTTTCTTATTTTAAATTTAATATAAGGAAAGATTAAATAAGACAAAATAAGTAGAAATAATACTGCTTTCAAAGTGAAAATAAGCAGTAAGAAATCACAAGATGATGATTACATATCCTGCTCGTAGAAATAGTTATGAAATACAAAAGTGAAACATATGAAGTGGGGATTCAAACAGTGAGACTGCAAATAGTTTTGTTCAACTCTCCAAGAAAAGCTTAGTAATATGGTTATAAATCCTATATGTGATTTTTTCTTTACAGAAATTACAAGCTAGGGAAATCCTATGGACATACATCTTGGAATCAGTGTAAAGAAGTATTCCTTTGTATTGCAGAAGGTAATGTGAATGTGAAAGTAACAGAAACACACCACAATGTTCAGATCCATGAAAAATATTGCAGTGGAGGGAAACCCTATGTATGCAAGCAATGCGGGAAAGGTTTTACCACAAATGGAATTTGTAAGAAACATGAAAGAATTCACAGAGGAGAGAGACCCTACATATGTAAGGAGTGTGGGAAAGCTTTTACAACACGTACATATTGTCAAGTACATGAAAGTCTTCACTCCAGAGAAAAACGTTATAAATATAAGCACTGTGAGAAAGCTTTCAGCACATGTACTTATTGTGTAATCCATGAAAAACTTCACACTGGGCAGAAATCGCATATATGTAAGAAATGTGTGAAAGCTTTTAGCAGTAAAATTCATTTTCAAATACATGAAAATGTTCACACTGCAGAGAAACCCTATGTGTGTAAGCAATGTGGAAAAGGTTTCACCCAACTTGGACATTGTAAGGAACATGAAAGAATTCACACTGGAGAGAAACCATATATATGTCAGCAATGTGGAAAAAGATTCACCAGATCTGAACATTGTAAGCAACATGAAAGAATTCACACTGGAGAGAAACCATATGTATGTAAGCAATGTGGGAAAGCTTTTAACACACATGCAAGTTATAAGGTTCATGAAAGAATTCACACTGGAGAGAAACCCTATGTATGTAAGCAATGTGGGAAAGCTTTTAGAACACAGGGAGAATGTAAGAATCATGAAAGAATTCACACTGGAGAGAAACCATATGTATGTAAGCAATGTGGGAAAGCTTTTACCAGACCTGGACATTGTAAGGAACATGAAAGTATTCACACTGGAGAGAAACCATATGTATGTAAGCAATGTGGGAAAGCTTTTACCAGACCTGGACATTGTAAGGAACATGAAAGAATTCACACTGGAGAGAAACCATATGTATGTAAGCAATGTGGGAAAGCTTTTAACACAAGTGCAAATTGTAAGGTTCATGAAAGCATTCACACTGGAGAGAAACCATATGTATGTAAGCAATATGGGAAAGCTTTTAAAACACAGGGAGATTGTAAGAAACATGAAAGTTCACATTCAATATAAAACCAGTGTATATAGGCATCATGAGAATGGTTTCAGCACATGTACATATTGCATAATGCATGAAAATTTTCACACTGGGCAGAAAACTTACATATGTAAGGAATGTGGGAAAGGTTTCAGGAGAAATGCTCATTGTCCAATACATTATAAAATTTACATGATTGAAAAACCCTGTGTATGTGAAGAATGTGAGAAAGCTTTCACCACACATTGATTTTGTAAAATACATCAATGACTTCACACTGGTGAGAAAGCCTATGTACATAACAATGTGACAAAGCTTTTACTGCATATAGTCATTGCAAAACACATGAAAGAATTCACACTGGGAAGAACCACTGGCTATGTAAGCAAGTGGAGACATTTTCAGCAGCCAGATTGTAAGTGAAATACATGAAAAAACTCACACAAGAGATAATTCCTATGTGTTATGGGAATACTCTCAGCATACTTGATCATTGTTACATATCTGAAAGAGCTCACTGGGCAGAGATGCTATGGGATTAACAATGTGAGAAATATGGTAATCCATGTTTCTTGTTAAATACTTAGAAAAAGCATCACTGTTCAGACAGTTTACTTTAAAAATCCCAAGGAGACCTGAAGAAATAATCAATACAGAAGTTTGATGTCAATATTTCTTCACAAATATTCCAGAAATGACAAATCTGAGGTGGATCTCTACTCAATTGCATATGTTTTTTGATTTTCAGTTAATCACTGTACCTCTCTAGATTTTTTAAAGTGTTTTTGTGCTTCAACATGGCATCTTGTAATTAAACATGCTAAACTGAAATGGGCTTTTTCACTTTCAAGTATGGATAGTGCCTATGTACTTAATATTTTGTCTTTAAAACTTAAATTTTATATTTTTTGGTGAATTGTAATGTTGTTTATTTAAAGAGAAAAAATGTAGAAATAATACAGAATTTCAGAAAAATAAACAATAAGAAATCACTAGTTGACTAGTATCATATTGTCATCTTAGAAGTAGTTGTTCAAGTTACAAATTTAAAGCATACAAAGTGATATTCAAATAATGACACTATCAACAGTTCACCTCAATGATCCACCAAAAAGTTTTTAATATGCCTATCTGTCCTACACAATTTTTTTTCTTAAAGAGGGTAAGATTAAACATGGCGAAACAGAGCAGAACAGTTCATAAGGAAACAAGTTAAGGAAACACAGATTTCAAAGCAAGTCCACTGGAATTGTTCACTGTCTATCTTACTGTCTCTATTTTTCTTCCAAATAGTTGTTCCCATCCTCACACACAATGAATATATACTGAATATTATAGAACTAATCAAATAATTACAGGATGATGCAGGCTTTTTCAATATTCAAGACTGATTTTGGGGAAGTCGATATTGACTACCATAATGTCTCTCATTCTCTTCATAGTAGCTGTCTTTATCTTTATGTATGCTGAAATGGAACACAAGAGACTAGACTAATATCACTCTGAACAGTGAATAATAGTATCCTGAGAAGGAGAAAGCTGAGGAATTGCCTAATAAAAGAAGGCAGAGGACATTGTTAAAAGTGTATCAGGACTTAAAAGCTAAAGTAGTCTTGTTGTTCTGTTTAGTTTAATTATATTTTGTTCTGGTCTGTCTACTCATATTAGATTTGAGGGCACAGAGAGATAACCCAAAAATATCAGGTTATACCATGGTAATTATCCTTAATTTCCTATTAACTAAAACTGAATACCTATATTACTTACATTGTCTTCTATGACTGATCTTCTTTGAAGCTGGATTGTTTCAATGTTATTTGGCCTTGAGTGATTTTATTCACATTTGGTATGCTTGTTGGTATCAAGTTCAAGAGCAGAGGCAACTACTCTGAAGATGGAAAGATGTAAAAGATATCCATTGGTGTGCTGGGGATTTAGCTCAGTGGCTTAAGCACCTGCCTGGCAAGGGTGAGGTCATGAGTTTGATTTCCAGAGCCAAAAAAATAAATGAATAAAAGATATCCATTCCAGGTTTGATTATTTTTTAATTAAAGAGAAAAAAGAAAGTAAATAAAAAACAAAGCAATAAAAGGGTACAAGTAATACAGAATTTCAAGAAAAAATACAGTAAGAAATCACTAGTCAATAGGTTACATATTGTCATCTTAGAAACAGTTGTCCAAATTATAAAATTAAAGCATATAAAGTGGACATTCATACAGTGAGATTGCAGAAAGTTCTGTTCAGTGATCCAACAAAAGCTCAGTAATATGGTTTTCCATCCTACACACTCAAGCATGCAGTTATATCCCTTAGACCACCTTCTTTTCCTCTCTTTTTTTACAATAACAATTACACATTTTGAGTTTTTTTACTCCCACAGTTCTTATTACATTTTTTGAAGAGAATAAATCCTAACATGATTAAATAAAACAGTCAGTTAGAACAGAAGGATGGGCATAGTACATGATGCAAAAATAGAATATCAGATGATCAAAAATGGTTACCATTGTGCCTCTTGCTATTTTTAAAAAGAGTTCCTATATCATCAGGTATAATAGAATTGATCAAAACAGTACAGAACAAGACCAATAAAACCTACACTGGAGACCTTGCAATATTTCAAAAAAGATCATAGTCAAACTATAATGGGCATCATAATAAATCTTATTGCCTTCAAAGTGGTTGCCTATACCCTCAAACTTGATACTATCAAACAAAATAGAATATAGTAAAATCAGAACAAGATGTGGAGAGCAATACTGGGGTTCAAATCAGGTTAATAGGAAAACAAATAATTACTATAATATATCCCGCTATTTTTAAATTTAGTTTTCCCTTAATTGAAAAAAATAAAATAGTTTAATTTAAAAAAAAGTTGGAGATTGAGATAAAAGAGGACATTGTAATAGAACAACAGTGGTCAGAATGGAACAATTTAAGCATAATTGTGTTTCACTCCCAGAAAATCTAACATAATAGTAACCATCAAAGTGCCTCATTCCTTGAATTATTTGAGTATAACTTTGTATACGATAGCATCAAGCATATCAAGACAGTGTGAAGCCATTCAACAGAATGAAAGAATTACAGGGTATTTAGACTCAGTTAACAGAAAACGAACAATGGTTTCTATAATATCTCCTTGCCTATAAAAATTTTTCTTTATACTATCGCATATAGTAAAATATAGTAAGATACAACATGTTAAAACCAGTGGAAACAGATAGTTTGTGAGAGAGGGACCATTCTTACACCACTGAGATTGAGCCCAGTATTGATCATGTTGGTTAATTTTGAATATGCTGGTGAGTTAATGTTGCAAACATTTAGCTGAACAATTTTGTGTATGTTTGGTAGGAATATTAGCCAGCAGAGTGTTTTCATTTATGTTATTTTTAACACATTATTGTCTGGCTTCATTCTCAGGATAACATTAACTTTGTCACTTAAAAGAAGTTGGTGGTGGGTTTTCCTTCAACTTGATTGAAGAATTGAAAAACAATCAGTATTCTTTATTATATACTGGATAAAATTCACCAGTGCACTTTTTGTATGCCAGCTTTGTTGTTGTTATTAAGCAGCTGTGATTTTTACCCATTGCCTGTACTCCTTATTGCTCTGTTAATCAGACTATTTCCTTCTGATGCATGTGGTTCGGGGACAGCAATGGACACCACATATCCATTAAAGGTCACATCTTATTTTATTTACGGATGCTACCATTTACTTTTCTATCATCAAACTATCTCTATAATATATAATTTTGTAAGTAACTCCTTTCAGTTACTCAGATTTAATGCACATTCTTGCAGGGTGTGGTTACTGCTGGTAGAACCTGGGCCTGGTGAGGGCCTGGTCTCTTATTTAAGGCTCATACCGTGACCTGCCTTCAGTGTCCCCATCTCCTGACCTGCTCCCTGTAAACACCTGTCCTTCTCCATAGCTACGGTGAATCCACATAAGGCAGTTCAGATCTGCACCTGGGTGGAAAACATTCAGTCAGGTTGGGCTCTGTAACAGACTGACCTCATACAGAGCTCCCCTGAGTTAGACAGGGAGCTTCAGGCATGTAGGGAGGAGCTCTGAAACCATTCCCGCTCTCTCCTGTCCAGTATGGAGTGTGTGATGCCTCCCTTAGAACTCACTGATGAATGAGGCAGCCTGGACTGGGCCTTTTTTAGCTATGGTTCCTGCTAGGTGCTATGGTGTCCTGCTCCTCTGCCTCGACCATCTCTCTGACTTCAGATCTCCACAGAGATTTGAGCAGACTCAGTCTTCCTCTACCAGGCTCTAACTCTATGCTGAGGATTCAGGTGAAATATCTGCTACCCTCAAATTCATCTTATATACATTTAACCTGGAAATTCCACTTCTAAGGGTCATTATAAAAATGAAATTGATAGACACCATATTCTCTTCTTAATCAGTTAAGGTGTGGACAGTTAGAAACCATGAATGTTCGACAGCACAGCTGCTGAGTTAATTATAAATTACAGCCACTGAAAAATGCTGAAAGAAGGCCACGTCCCTGATCTTTCCTGAGATTGAAGAGAGCTTGTGTCCTGACACTCTCTCCACCCAGCAGTGAAGAGACAAATACCTGCACAGCAGTTGAGGACAGGAGAGAGGAGCTGGTCAATGGCAGACCTCTCATCCTGGGAGGGATGCCTTTGGGGTTTTTCCATTTTATTTTCCACTGCATTATTTATAGTGCTCCATTCAATATTACTTCTCATCTGTTCAATTCACTTAAGAATAAATAGTTGGTATCTTCTTTAATAGGTGAGTAGAAATGGATGACTTAATACTCTTTTATATGTAATGTAGGATATGCATATAGAAGAACATTCAAGCTTCACTTTATAGACATATAAAACAAGGAGTCTTTTTATTCAGAAAGGCAACACATCATTCATGACTAACTTCTAAACCCCCAACACATGAAGCCATGCGGATCCTGCTCTGGTGGGTGTCCTGCCCTCCCTACCTGAGAAGTCATTGTGTTCATCTCTGTCTGGTAGAGGACAACCAGAATCTTCTTCAGAGTCTCTTTTTCCAGCAAGGAGGTCTTGAGTCTTCCTGTCCTCAGGCCAAGCAGGGAGTGTGCAACATGCAGAGGAGCCCAGCACCTCCTGCCTTACACCCATTTCCACCACTGCATCCATGCTGCAGCCCTGCAGGCCCAATAAGGCAGAGCCACCAGGGTGCAGGAAAGACTCTGCCACCTCAGCCCCAGGGGCCTCAACTCCTGGGTCCTGGCCTCAGCCCCCACCAGGCTCCAAGCTCTGCCTTGGATTGGACATTCATAGCGGGCCAGACACACCATCAGTGCCTTGGGGCAAAGTCCATTTTCCACAGTGACAATTCCATTCTTCAAATTTTGATCCTTTCCTTTCTAAATGAGGCTGAGGCTTTGGAGACAAAACCCCACACATTGTCATTACTTTTTGTTTTTCTTTCTTTTCCTTCTTCTTTTTCCTCCTCCTCCTTCTTCTTCCTCTTCCTGTTTGTCTTCATCTTTGTGTTCTTCATGGTTTCTTTGATGCTTTAAATACATATTTAGAGGTGTATTTTGCCAAAAAACTTTCCTTGTCTTCTCACACCCCAGTTAAAGGAAATTTTTAAAGCTTTCTGCTGCAGTTCACACCCTATGTGTTTGAACACTCAGAATCCATTTTCAGGGATGTGTGCCTGCATGTATCAGGTTTAGGAGACTCAGCATTTTGTGTGCTTATTGGCCATGTCTGGTGATTCCCTTTGAGTTAGAAGAATTTGTCATTTCCCTCACAAAATGGAATCATGAGACCTCTTTCATACTTGTAATAAAAACCATCTATCTGACTATTTGTTGTAAAGAAAGGTTTCCTGTTGTGATTTTTGCATTATTGTTATTTTTCAAATGCAATGAATCAGTCATTTGTAGCTCCCTTTGTATCACTGAAATCATGGAAAACATTTTCCGACATGAAAAGATGAGTACATACACAATGATTTCTACATTTTCCCTATAGACTTTGTCTATCTGTGGTTTTCTCTTCTGTCAAACAGCAATAGCATCCAGTCTCCTCCAGGAATGTTTGGCCAAACAGAATCTGATGCACTGATATGAAAAACACAGGGTAGTAAATCACAGTGAGCGAAAAGTCAGTGGTGGGTGGGGACTAGCAGGAGAGAACAGGGGTATGGATGGGTCCAACATTGAGCAGAAAGCTGGAACTAGACAGATGTGAAGATTATACCAACTGACAATGGGCTTACATATGACTCAACTGAACATGTGGAAACTAATGAAATCTTAACTTAAAATTAAATTATCTTACAATTTAATGTTTTAAAGAACTTAGATTTAAGAGTAGAAATGAAAACTGAGAGAAATAGAAGAGGTAAATTGAAGGGAAAACGAAGGGCCTATACTTTGCAAGACCTGAGCCCTAAGTGGAGCTGAGGACACCTGCCATGGAACCAGTGACAGACCTGCCTTGGAATCCCACCAGACTGGGTATCTGACCTTGATTTTCAGGTTGATGAGCTGGTGAGGTCATTGGAGGTGAGGCTGGCACAAGATCTGTAAGTAGACCTTGAGCTCAGTCCGGTACCAGCCTTGCCTTAGAAGAATCCCCAACTGTCCTTGCTCCTTGCAAGCCCCAAGGCCTCCCAGGGCATGTCAGGGACAGCTCTGTGCACAAATGCACCCCAGGAAAGCTTCCCATTCTGCCTCATCCCACTCACTTCTGCATGCCTCTGGGTTGCAAGAGGCCCCAAGTCTGAGAGTCTTCCTCCCTCTATAGTGTCCCATGTCCTCCTCAGAAACCAACAGACCCAGGCCAATTCCTTCTCGCTGTAGTTCTCATTTTCAGTGAGCTAGGCTTGGCCCAACTCAATCAGATTAGGTTGGGCTGGCTGTCCCACCTTTCTCAGCAGCACCTGCCAGGAGCCAAGAAGAGAAATTCTGATCCTGAGGAGGACAGGTGTAAGCAGCACTACAGGTCTGGCTTCCCTCCCAAACTGTCCTCCCAGG